AGTCTCCTGCCTCTGCCTCCCAAGTAGCTGGGATTACAGGCACCCGCCACAATGCCTGGCTATTTTTTGGTTGCAGCCATCGTTGTTTGGTGGGCCCGGGCTGGATTTGAACCTGCCAGCTTAGGTGTATGTGGCTGGCGCCTTAGCCGCTTGAGCCATAGGTGCCGAGCCTCTTCTAGCTATTTTGAAATAGAAAATAAATTAACTGTAGTCAGTAGGGTTAACTGTAGTCCCCCTCCAGTGTTGTTGAACCCTAGAACTCATTACTTCTGCGGTTTTATACCCATTAACCAACCTCTCTTCCTGTCTACTTGCAGCCTCCCATAACCATCTTTCCACTTTCTACCTCCATGAGATCTACTATTTTTAGCCCCTTTGTATGAGTGAGAACGTGTATATATTGTTATTTTTAAATCTGGAATTCTTTTGAAGATACCCAAACCACATAATGTAGATTTTAAAATATGTTTTGTTATAGAGAAGCACTTTGCTGGTTGGAACCAAGCTTTGGCAATACTTTGGATATATTTTCATGCCTTGCTGGTTTGTATTACTCTAGTACAGTGATTGGCAGACTTTCTCTAAAGGGTCAGATAGCAAATGTTTTAGGCTTTGCAGGCCATGTGGACTCCATTGTAACTAAAACAGTTCTGCCGCTATAGTGTGAAAACAGCTGTAGATTGTATGTAAACAGGCATGGCCATGTTCCATTAAAAAGTTATCTATAAAAATTAAAAAAGGTGGTGGGCAAGGTTTGGCCTATGGGGTGTAGTTTGCCCTCCTCCGCCCTAGTGTATGTGCTGTGTTTTCTCCTGTGATGCTGTTTAAGAATGGATTCTATTTTGACAATTATATACACTTTATGTTTGTTTCATTATCTTATACTTAGTAACAGTATAAAATAAATAGGTATGCATATTATGAAGTCTGAATTGGAAAAATTAGTGTATGAATCTGACATCAAGGGAAGGATTTTGGAGAAAAATTTTTTTTTTTTTTTTT